TGGTACGCAAGCTACATGTGGTGAAAACGCCTTCAGACTGACTTAAAATGACGTACTTGTTTAACATCCTCTCAGTGTCTAATTTATCAGCACAATACACACAAGAGAACTGTTGACTGCATATTGAGTAGATTTAATGATTATAAAAATTGTTCTGGAAACCGAAAAAAAAAAAAAAAGTGGGAAAAGGACTATGAACAGAAAACTTTGTTAAGAAGGACAGACTAACGGCATAACAACATGAAAAAATGCCTCAACATTCTCTATTAGCGACAAGCAAATCAAAACCACAGATGATATATCACTTAACTTCCAGTGCAAATGGGCTTTCTATCAAAAAGTTCCCAAAACAATAAGATGTTTGGTGTGGATGGTGGAGAGACAGGACACTCCTACATTGCTGGTGGGGACTGCAAACTACTGTGTTTCCCCAAAAGTAGATCCGGTACCCTAAAATAAGCCCTAGCAGGCGATTTCGCTAAGCATCTTGCCCGCAGATATAACCCCTATCCAAACAATAAACCTAGTGCATGGGCATTGCTACCGCAGCGGTTTCTGCAGCAACCCATGCATTTTGCGTGGGGCGGAGTGGCGTAAAGAAGACGAGCCAGGGCCCTTCTCATCTGCGCCCATTGTAATAAATACATCCCCGGAGGTGATGGTCAAAGGTACGCGGCAGGGGGCCCCACCAACGAAGTTGGCTCCCTGTCAGGTCCCAGGCCAACGTGTGCATGCCTGCAAGCTGAGGCTTTGAGGGGGGAAATGAACACATCCTCTAAAAATAAGCCCTAGGGGTTCTTCTTGGAGGGGAACAATATAAATATTAAGACGCCTGTGCTTACTTTCGGGGAAACTACGGTAGTACAACCTCCTTGTGGGAATAGCAATTATGCGATATCCTCAAGAACTACAAGTACGAAAAACTTTATTCTATTTGATCCAGCTTATTGCCAATTTATCTTGTGCATCTACCCAGAGCGGGCGAAAAAAATTCGTATAAAAAGAACTTCTTATTAGGAAATGTTTCATTGGGCCAGCACCAATTCACGAATTTGGAAGATGTGGAAACAGACCTATATGTTGTTTCTTTCTTTCTATATTTCTATGTATTGTTGGTTAATTATATTGTGGTATAGTCATTACCCTGGATATGTTCCATAAGCTACATATGATGACTAATGGTGATCAGCAACTTCTGTTGTATTATCCTGGATAGAGCTGATTCCATTTTTACTGTATATTGTTATGTTCTTATCACAAGAATGGTATATATAACTAATAATATTCTCCCCCATACGTACTTTCACTCATTCAATAGGTAAATCGATCTACATATGGCAATAGTAGTATACTCCCAATGCTGTGTCATCCCGGTGTCAGGCAGGATGGGATAGGGGAGGAACTAGGATGGTCAACACCCTAAAGGCTGTGATGTGCACGTTTGGGTGATGGACTATGGTATATAGAGCGTGGGGTGGGCAAGTATATGTATTTCCTGAATATATTACCTCTTTAAGTCTGATTATTTATTAATTATAATAACAAGATGTTTTGAAAAATTTGAGATTAACTGTAGTATAAAGTGTACAAATTTAAGTTGTATCACGTAGCTCAGTATTTGGTGGTGTGGTTCGTGTGTGTGTTGTGGTGTGTGTGTGTGTATGTGTACCCTTATATAACCAACATCGTGGATTAATCGGATTATATTAGAGAATTATCCTCTATCAACAAAAGTTTCTGCTCCTTTTGTCCAAAACCCTATCTCCTCAATGAGATTAATCACTCTTTTGGTCTTAATTCTATTTGCTGTTGCTGGTGAAACTGCATTTTAAATGGAATAATACGAATATCGTACTCTTTTCTTGTGGTCCCAATTTTTATATTTTTGATGATATTCCTAAGTAATTATGATTTATCTCTGTCTTCTATTTTTATTGATATGCTGTAAACTGAGTGAATATATATATTCTCTTGTGTGCTAGTATGATCATTGTGTGCTGTGGCGTATTACAAATGAAGATGTCCATGAAACTTCTTTTATGTATTTTGGTGAGTATTAAGGTACTAGTTGTTCTTTCGTATATCCTAGGATATGGATATGCTGAACATAGATGGGCTTATGTTTAGCTTTAGTATGATATGTCAAAAGCTTTTACTATAATGTATGAATTTTTATTATCAATGTCAGAAATAGTATCATTCATGTTGCGGATCCACTATTATGTTTGAGTGTACAGCATGGTATGGATGAATGTCACTATGTTGTTTTTTTTTCTTTTGTTTTTAATTTCATTCTGTTAGGTCTAGTGATGTTACAATCATTTTCGATATGTTGGTCAATTTGTATTGTGAAATAGCTGTTTATGTCCCTCTATCCACTGAGAATTGTACTAGTATTCTCTATCTGCAAGCTTTTATAAATATTGAATAGATAAATATATCTTATTGCCATGTGGCGTAGAGAAGGTGATGTATGAAGTGGGTCTAATAAATTTAATGATATATCGATATGTATTAAAGGTATTTTCTAGTCTGAGCTTACTTATTAATTTCCTAATGAGTCTTTTGATCAGCAGAATATCTTTGATTCATATGATTCTAATCGTACCGATATCAAAATTGGTTAGTCTGCTGTTTTGTTGCATTAAGAAATCTTTGCAAAGTCAGAAGAATTTCGTTGTTTCTTCTAACTTAATGTTAGTTTTGTATTTACGTGTTAAATTGTAAAGGATCAACTGAAGTTCATTTTATATGGTTTGAGCTGGATATGGATAACTTTCTTATTTTGATAATTTGTTGCTCTAGCATTATTTATAAAACATACTTCTGCATTGAACTCAATGATCCTGTTTGCTTGTAAATCAGACGTGCAGGTATATGTGAGTTTATTTTCTGGAGTTCTATTACATAGCTCGTTATTGTGTAATCTTTCACCATGATAATAATTTATCCAGATTTGTAGATTTGAAGAATCGTTGAAAGGTGGTAAATAAAAGTCTCTGCGTTATTTTTCTTTGTAAATGGTCTTGATTATGCTTTGTACTTTGCATTTTCTATATAAATTTAGGAATTAAGTTGTTCCACTTGTTGGTTGTTGATGTGGTTAGGTTGGTTCTAGAAATTTACAGAAGTCTATCCTTGGTTTAGTTATGCTAGTGATTCTTCAAGACATTCATTAAACATGTAATAAACCTATAACACTGTATGAATACATGTACCTGTGCTCCAGCAATTTTAAAACCTTCTTTTTAAGTCTTATAAGGTTAGTAAGGGCTCATGGTAAACATTGTGTGATTTGAATTTGCTGTAAATAGTAAAGTCCTTTAGTACTTATAAAATACCTATATATGTTAGCCTCTTACATTGCCAGTGATTCTTTGTTTGTTACTTTTGTCTTCCATCTGTACTATTTTCTTTTTAAACCTGTGAAAGACTCCTTTAGTACATCTTGTAGTGAGTTACTAGTTTTGAATTTTTTTATGCTTTTGTCTTGGAACATCTATAGCTTCACTTAAAAATATTTTTTCCTTTATTTATCATATTATGGGGGTTAATAATATTGTTGTAGGGTCCATATATGCCCCTGCATTCCTCCTCCGCCCTCCACCTTTGCCAAAACATACACTAACCCTGCTGACCCCTTGACCTTGAATTTCTAGAACTGTGAGAATGTTAATTTCCATTCGAGCTACCCAGTCTGTGACACTTTGTTATGGCAGCCCTAGCAAACTGATCCGGCATTATTTGTTCCTTCTTCTCTCCCCTTGATCAGTCAACTAAATAAATGTATGGAGCTTCTGCCATAAGTAAGATACTGTGCTGGGCATAGACACGTAGGATAAAGAAGAACATCTTTATCCTACAGATTTGCTTTTAAGAAGGTGCCATTCCAATAAGGGACATAAGCCCCACAAGCATTTTAATACAAATATCTTTTAAAATAGCTGACAATATATAGCTATATTTATTCACTTCATTTGTTCTTCTACCCATTCAACAGACATGAAATGTACACCAACTTGAGTGCACATCTGTGTTCTAGATGCTGAGGATATGGTAGTGAATAAACAAGGGGGCTACACTCTAGAGGAGACACACACACACACACACATTTACGAGCTAATGATAAGTGTTTTGGGAGAAATGTAATGCAGATTAAGGGTTCAGAGGGAGATAGGGTGAAAGAGGATGATGTGAGGCATGATGGTCAGTGAGGGCCTCTTTAATAAGCTGGCACTTGAGCAGAGACAAGTGGCTACATGGGAAAATGGAACATACATTACGTTCTCAGTTGTGAGCAGGATTAGGAGATCCAAGGAAGAACCCACAGTCTGTGGGAAGG